ACGTAGATCGTGATTGGATCGAACCTCTTTATTATATCATTTGCACTCCCTTTTCCCTTCCTCTTATTATTTTTGTGTTGCCTTATTTATTCATAGTTATTTGCTTAAATTTGCGTTTATTTTAGAAAAAGATTCAAATAACCAATTCACCCCCTTTTGGTTAGTTATTCTAGGGTTTTCATTTAGTTGGTGCATTTAGTGTTTCTCTTTCATTATGCATATTTTACTTTGATGTGAATTCAGTGTTGATGTGAATTTTGTCACTATTCATTTAAGTGTTTCTCAATTTACTTACCACTTGGAATCAAAACCTAAAACTCTCCAATTTATTACTTGATTTTGATGTGAACTTTCTATTATTGCATATAGGTGTTAATTCTCCTATATTTCACAATTTTATTACAAAGGTTGGGATATTTTACGCAACTTAGTTTTAAAGGTAGGGAGTTTTCGCAAAATATATTAAAATGTATGATTGTTACACATAAAAAGTATTAATAGGTAGGGATGGTTATCACAAGTTCAATTTAATAATAAAAAGGGAAAATGGGTCCGATTCATCTTCTTCATTTATATGTGATGGGTCATTTGCCATTAAAATTTGATGGGTTATTTACAGTATCACATTTATCATTGTTCTCATTTTATCCCTTATATGCACCCTTAATAAGCACAAAATAGGGGTGAACATCTCCAGTATATTGACTATTTATTAAAATCATTCATCTATTGTTTCAAATTTTATGAGTAATCCAGTACTACAACAACCATTGTTCTTCTCAAGGTGAAATGCAGCATTCTTTACTTAATTTCTTATTTACTCAATGGAATAATTGTATAAATCATTTTCATATTATTGTTAGTTTTGAACAGTTAACTTTGAAGGCGGAAAGAATGCCACTGGAAAATTGATTGAGACTATATTATCCTTGCTTTTTGAAAAGAAAAATTCATTTTTGTTGAGTTAGTGGAACATTTGACGATGAGTGGATGGAAGGACATTTTTCGCAATAAAAGATAAAATTGAGGACGAAAAAAAAAGACAAAAAACAAAATGTATGGATGTTTTGTACGAAAACATTGAAAGGTGGAACATTTTATGTTAATTACTCTATATTTATGTATTAATGACATATTAGCCCTCTTTCCGATTTTTTTTCTAAATTCATTTTCCAGTACACATTCATGCAAACAATAAAATATTATACACATGAATTCAAAATCTTTTCTTAAATTTTAATCACACATTCTACAAAACAATCAACATTTCAAAACTTATTTCTCAAGAAAAAAAAAAGAAAAGAAAAGAAAAAAAAAACTTATTAAAATGGACGTCAAACAGGACTTAATAGATCATTTCTCCGTATCTATGTTAGAGGGAGATTTTCTCCCTCCACTCGCACACACAGAACTCGTTAAAGAAGAACCAAATCTAAGTTATTGCATCAACAAAGTAGTCGTTAAAATGGACTCTATGTACATTCTTTAATCAATAATACTGTCACTTGAATATTAGTCATTTTCCAATATCGACAGGAGCAACTTTCAACGGACCACTTTAATTAATTAATATTCTATTTATGTTTGTTCTAATCCGTTCCAAATATTTAATTTCGAATATCCAGAAGAGAAAGTCAGTTATTTTACGCCTCAATTACTTCATTCGAAGAATAATTAACGTCCTTAACATCCTCATATTTCCTTTTTCATAATAATAATTTTTTTTCCATATGAAATTTAAGCAAATAATTGAACGCAAAATGTTGAATCAAGGATTCTAAAGCCAAATCTTGAACTACTTGCGATGTTATTAAATAGTCTAATGTTTTATAAAAGAGCCATTCGCCGACGATCGTACTCTAGCAAAATCCACAAATCGCCTACGTCACTTAAAAAGTCATTTCGAGAACTACATCGTCATCATATCAAATGATTCAAACGGATATCGAAAATACTTAAACGTGCATCAAACATCAAAGACGTCTAACTCGTATTTCTTTTTTAAAAAATTAATTATTTCATTAACGTGAATTATTTTTGCACAATAAATTTCTCAATATCATTTACATCGTTTTATTAACAAATTTTACGTGGAGTATGACATAAGAATTTTTAGGATCGTTATAGAATAAATGTATTGAATTACTTTCGAATTAAATTTGAATTTCATTTACTTCCTAAATTGAATTTGAATTTTATTTCAATTCATTTATTTCGTACATTCAACTTGATTTACTCGTTGTCGGCTCAACATTTGTCAACGAGATGATAAACAAAACTATACAAGTAGCAAAATTCATTTGACCCCCACATTACAAAAGCTCTGGGTCCGCTCCTTGTAGAAACTAGTAAACTTAATTGATTTCTTCCAATTACCTAAGTTTACTTGCACACATTTAACATAAAAAGAATGTATTCGATTTTGTCAATGAAAGCGAAGGAATATGTAATTAACTTCCGCACAACAAATTTCAACATAACCAAGCTTGGAAGCAAATAATGGTTTGAAAAATCCTCAGTTTTAAAGAATGATATTCTCTTCTGGTTCTACTATGAGATCATCCAATTGACTTACATATCCAAGGTCACACGTGCACTTCTCTCTATCCCCCATCCCCACACCTTCAGAAACTACAATTATTCATATGGTAATTACACCATTAGTCCTAAATTATCGTTCGATTGACGAGTTTAATTCCATCCAACCTATCTTAATCGTGGAACCCATACGAAGGTCACGTAAAAATCGAACAAAGACTTGAAAGTCTGAGACCGATGACACAAAATTTTCATTATTTTTTGATATCAACAGATAAAGAGACATGTCAAAGCCCCACATGCTAACTGAACATTCTTAAATTCTGTCCTGATGATTGTCAGAACCTTAGTTGCCAGTCTTTTTCTGTTCTAATGGAACCCTACTCACTCATCAAACCCTTGTTTATAAAAAGCACAGACGATATAGCAGGGAATTGTTTTTATGTATGTTACTTCATACAAGAAACCGAATATCAGTTTTTATGCACTCACAAAACATCTGTTTCAGACTACTTCGATCTCTTAAAACCTGTGTAGAAAAATCAGAACCCTTGAGACTGTATCTTGTAACCATCTTATGATGGAATAAATCCACTGGATATCATTAATTCCTCACATGTATAAATGCAGAAATTTATCAGTGTTATTAATGAAAACGCTAGCAAGTTTAAGTCAATGGTCATGTTCCATCAGATTTCCTTATAAAGAATATAGGTAAATTACAATTATATTGCATGAGAAATTAATCTCCGCAAATTCTGCAAGAAACTTTGGGTGCAAGTGGCAGCTAGGAACCAACTAATACTGTAGCTAGGGTTTTACTTATTTAGAATTTTCTTGTATAGCATAGGCTTATAGGGCCTTATATTCAATTTTAGAATATAATTTAAGTTGTCCACGTTACTATGTTGCTTACCTAGAAGTGTGAAAACAAAGGCGAAATAGTGGCAATAATTTTATTTTCTTATTTAATTATCAACCAGAGAGAAAGTATTACTTGGAAGCCAGACTTCAAAACGTACAGACAAAAACTAGTTCTGGTGATCATGTCATGACGACAGTTAATTCTTGTTACAAGTGAAAAATCACTGTAATTCTCGAAAATATTGGAGGGTTTTATGTAGAATTCATAATTGAATGGATTCAGAAAGATCTGCAGTGTTTTCCGGAAGTTTGTAAGACAACAAATTATAAGCTCTTCCGTGACAAAAATAGGGACAAATACAAAATAGACTAGGTACAGGTGGTGACACCATGTTGTGAAACTCGTTATTAGTTGTTAGTTCAATTGGTATGATTAAATGTCAAACAGCTGTCACTTCTTTCATCCTTATACAAGAATTAATCTTTTCTCATATCTTGCAGCAAATTCTTGGCATTGACAGTGCATGTTAGAGAAGGATTGATGAAAGACTTGCCAGATTAAGCCCCAAGTTTAGTGTAAATCAAAATCATATTTTCTGTAAATTTTAATAAAAGTTAATGAAATGTGGTTAAAAATTGTAAATCCCATAAATGGATAATTAAAATTAATTGTTGACTTTAACTTGAAATTTTGATCGAATTTTAATCTACACCAAACATGAGCAAAATAAAGATATTAATTCACGCATGAGAGGTATTGATTTAGTTGTGAATAACTGGAAAAATTTGAGCTACGTGTACTTGTCTTCACGACATGTTCATGCACAAATTATATTTTGAGAGCAATAAAGGATTTGAATTAAGAACTTGTTGATCTTGTACGTCTGTTTTATTTCTTTTACTAGAGGGCACGCACATATATTAGTGCAAATCGCCAAATAAACGAAGGGACATAATTAATAAAACGAAATAAATGTTTATCAATAATGAATAAGTCTACATGTACAGGCAAAAAACTGACAGAAGTCCTATAGAGAAGACACAATAAAGAGGTGGGTGGTTTTTTTTTTGACAATAAAATATTTACATGAGCCCACCCCATGTGACTTATGAGAGCCCTGTAAACATTCCGTGACTTCTTTGTCTGTACACATGGAATATTGCATCAATAATAGTAGACGAAGCAAACATGTGGGCCACAACTTGCATCTCGAATAGACACTACAATGTCAAACAAGATGGTCGCATTCGAAGCCATGGTATATCAGACTGAAAGGATGGTACTAATCAAAGAGAATCACACTGAACTTCATGGACCTGTATGTCCTATTTCATGAATCCCTTCGGGTTAATTTTAAGAGGTGAGGGTAAAAAATTTCGTTGCATCAGTGCGTCACTATCAACGTCATAATTACATTCACCAGAAAATATGAACAAAAAAAACTTGCATTAATTTCATACTTACGCATAAAACTACCAATCCCATTAAGAGATACTTGGAATATATATATATATATATATATATACACACACACACACACGCACGCACGCACCATCATTTCCATTAAGAACTATGTTAAAAATAAAGTGCAATTGATATTGATAATGGAAATTTCTAACATTCTGATTAATTCATAAGTTGAAGTTACCAAGTATCCTACAGATTTTTCTACTAATTATCAACCAAAAGATAAATTTTGTTGAAGGTAAATCTACTTCACTGCTGGAGGATCTCCTAACCTGAGCTCAAGATCAATGTCATCCATGGAGCTGGTTTTCTGTAAATTTGTGAATCCATCACTTGAACACAGATTCTGAAATATTTGCAGTGATGGGACTCCATTTTTTTTAGGTCTTTTACTGCTGCAGCTATTCATCTCATCATCGTACTCTAACATAGGTTTTCCTTTCCTCGTATGCTCCTCTGGTGCAGTTTTTGGCCGTGAAGATGAAGCCGGAGAAACGTGCAAGTAATTATGATCAAATGAATTTTCTTGATGAAACATGGATGAAAAACTAGTTTTGTTACCATATTTGTAAGCTTCATATTGATGATTATCATTAGGAAGATTTAGACTATGATTTTCAAGCTGAAGAACTTCGTTTTTCGGATCAGGAGATTGCTGATGTTGAAGTTTAGCTCTATCTCGCCTGTGGACATTCATATGGCCACCAAGTGCTTGTGCAGACCTGAATTCTCTATTACAAAAGCTGCATGAATAACTTCTTGGAGGCCATATGAATCCTCCAAGAGGACCCATGGAGTCTTCTGCAAAAGCTTCTTCCTCCCATGAACTTCTTATTGAATTCATAAGATGTTTTCTCTTCATCTGCATCAAATTATACTGCCTGTACTGCTCCATATATGATTGTTTATGTATGTATATTCTGAAATAAACAGTTAATCTGAGAAGAAAAGGTAAGGAGATGGGGTAATATATATAGACTTTAAATTGAATGCAGGAAGCTAATATAGAATCTATGATGAAGAAAAACTTCAACCGAAAAAGTTCTTCATTGTTGGTAGTTTTGCAGTGTGGTAGCTCTCATTTGGCTCTTTCAGTATGGAATTTTCATTGTATTGGATCTAGTTGGCTTTTCATAAATGCAATTTAAAATTATAGACTTGTTTTAGCAATTTCTCCAGTGTACTGTTTTAGTCAATTTAGTGCATTTGAAGCTTGTGCAGGATAAAGACAGGGATAATGTGAAAGTTTAATTAATTAATTTATATTTTATCTTTAATGTGCTGCGGTTAGTGATGTTTAAATTTACATTTCCATCAAATGTTATACACTTGCACAATTTCTACAGAGTGGGGTTGCCCGATTTGGACTTGAAATATTTATCTACTGTACTATGATCAACCACTTGATATTAAAACTTACATTTTTAGAGATGAAACAATTTTTTTAATTTAAATTTTGATATAAATTGAATACTTGTGGTTTTGAATATTGATACAATCTACATCAACTTAAGAAAGTACGAGTCTTGATAAAGCCCTTGTTTGGTTTAGCTAAAAATTTAAATTAATCCCCTGTTTGTCTTTCATTATTTTAAAATTCATTTTTTTTTCAAACTCATTTTCAATCATATATTTTCAGAATAAAATATTTTACACGTAAATTTAGATCTTTTTCTTAATTTTTAACCACATAATCTCCAAATATTCATGACTTCAAAACTCATTTTCTTGCTTTAATGGTAGACAAACAGGGAATAAAATTTAAGTCAAAGTCAAAAATTAATTTTAACCGTACATTTAATGAGAGTAACAACTTTTCAAACGCATATTTCATCAACTTTTCGAAATCTACTAAAGATTTGAATTTCATTTAAATCAAACATGGGCAAAATGTTGGTAGATATACCTATCTTGGACATGTTTTGAGAATTTGAAGTCTCAACTATCTTTAGATCATGTTAGATTCGAAAGCCGAAGGCAAGCTTAACCTCCTCTATCTTGGAAATTCCAATTTCCTTTATGTACATGATACTAGTGTTTAGAAGGATAGAATTAAATAGTATAAAAATGAAAAAAGAAAATAAACTTTTTATTATATAGTCTTGTCAACATAACATAGGCAGTCCCGAGAGTGTGCGAGTTGAGCAATCGCACGGGGCCTCAACGTTGTAGGAATAAAAAAAATATTTTATTAATTTTAAAATTTAAAATTTTCATTATTATGTTAAGTTAAAGGGCACAATATTTATGAAAAATAAGCCAAAAAAAATTATATTATGTTCATATTTTTAAAGTTTAATGTGTGTGTATGTGTCTATATATATATATATATTTTTTTTTTTTTATTTTTTTTTTCTAATTTTAAACTATATTGCATTCGAAAAAAAATTAAAATTGTCTATTTTACCAGTCTAATTGCAAATGCCCAATTAACTTCATTAACCAATTACCAACCCAATACGGCAACAAGTATCCCAAAATTTAAATGATTAAAGTGAAAAATGAAAAGCTAACCCTAAATCCCTTTTAACCATTTCCCTCGCTCACACCCAAACTCACGAAAATCCATCAAATAGAGAAGAGAAGAAACTCTATCGTTAGTCTTTATTGCTTGCTCAACAAAGAACAATCTATATCGTCATTTTATTGTGCCAGTTGGTCCACTTGTTAATTGTTATTTCGTAATATTTTTCCTTCTAAAAGTGTAGGTTTTGTTACATTAAAAGAGCATCATTTTAAGTTTTTTTATTGGTGCCTGTAAGTTTTATCTTAATTACATAAAAGGTGCGTCATTTTAAAATGTCACAAGACACTCAAAATTTTAGGATCGACCCTACTTGTCAAGTTGAGTAATTTGTAAAATTTATTATCTCCATGGTCTTTATCTTGTAATAGAGAATTTTGTTCCTCCTCGAAAACATGTCGTTCCCCTTTCCAAAGTCCTTTCTTTCCGTTCGATCCTTTCATTTACACCTTTGTTTGACTCATATTTCCTCCTATTCTGATTTCGGCTACCTTGAACATTATTTTAATCAAATAAACCGTGTAAATCTTGTATCATTTTTTATTTTCCATGTAATTGAATCCTCTGTTTGTCTCGAGAATATTGTTCAAACGAAGTCTCTTTAAAAAATCTAAAAATAGTAGTTGAAATGTCTATTGTAGATGTTATTTAAGTCCTTAATAGTCCATATGGGACACGCTCCAACCTACATATGTTTAATTCCCAAATTGAATGTAGTGAAATAGAACAAGATTTAAGTATTGCTCAACTAACAATGAACTGTTGTTGATAGGTTTGGAACAGTGGGGTCGGTCATATGAATATTTTTTGGTCACTATTTGGATAATAGTGATACGCATTTAGTAATTATATTAAGGGCCTATTTGATTGGCCACACTTTCCATATCAAAAAGACTTATTTGATTGCAACATTTTTCATGAATTGGTGGAAAACGGTAAGAATTGGTTTTCTAGCTTTATTTTTATTATTTTTAAATTTTTTTTTATTTTCAGCCATGTGAGCAAGTTTTATCTACAATTGTAAAAAAATTATACCCGTTTAATTGACAATTTTCACTAAAAATAAAGTCAAACGAATATCAAAAGATCCAAAATTTTCACATTTTTCAAGTGGAAAATTATACCAATCAAACGCATTTAATTGAAAATTCCCAAGAAAACAAGTTCTAGGCAATTCAATTCCCTCGAATTCATTTTCTTTCCATCCGAATTTCATTATTGCAATCAAATGGACCTGGTTAATTTTGAGTTGGATTCTTTTGCATGGCTTTGTTGGAAAATAAAACGGATCGATGCAATATATATGATACGATATGAAGTATATGATTACAAATAAACAACAAGATAAAATGTAAAGAATTAGTTGACAGATGGATGAGGTATTTTATTCATTTTATTCAACTGACTAATAATATAGAGAAAACAAATACAATAATTATGTCTACACAATTATTCTATATTTTAGTAATACAAATTTGTGAAAAGATTCTAGAAATATGACAAAAATGGAAATAAGATAAAAAAAAATTACGTAAAATAAAGGAAAAAATATTTTCTCAAAAATTCAAACTAATATGGGTCAAAAACCCTACACGTTCAGTATTTACTTGCCACACTTATAATTAATTCACTTCATCTAAAATTGTCATGTAAAAAGAAAAAAAAGACACGTTTAGTGATTTAAATTTAATTCCTCGTGTTTGAGTTGCACGTTGAATTTATTTTTAAAACAGAAGTTTGACACACGATGAGATCGAATACTTTGACTCAAACAATCATTTTGAATTGAATAAAAAAAAAAAAAAATCAATTTTCCATGCAAAAACATTTGTCTAAATATGATAACATCATGAACCATCTTATGCTAAAAATTTGAAATAAAACATTTTAACATATAACATGTAAGGATGTATTTTTTTTTTTTTTTTTCTATTTTTAAACTAGATCTACCGTATCTCGTTACTCTTGCCTCTTCTCTCACTATCTTAACCCGTTGATCAATCATACATTTGATAGTGACTAAAATTAATACGACAAGCTACCCTTTAAGCCTCCAACCAAAATTGGACAACCTTTGGTGGCAAACAAGGTTAATACATTATATTAAAGAACCATATGTAACAATTGTTGAATACTAATTAACAAACTTACCCAAGATGCCATTCCATTTTAGATTAATTAGTTTCAAAGAATTGAATAGGTAGGACAAACCTGAATGTCGTCTAGTTGAGTTCAATCAGTTATACAGTGTAGGTTAAACTTCATTTTTAATTTTTCTCTTTTTGTTTAGATCCAAGTTGGGCATGTCCATTTGGACCTCCAAAGCGTAGGACAAGTGATGAACAAATCATTTAGTGTCGATGTTTGTGTCGGGGAACCGACTTTAATAAACAATCTTAATTTATTCAACTGGAGCTTATGATAATTTTGTTCATTTCATAAAAATCAGCCTTTTGTTTGTGTAGTGAATGTCTCAGAATCTTTCTAGTCTTTCCTACAAGATCATGTCAATTCAAATGTCAAATTAAGAAATATTAATATTCTTAATTATTAATGGTTTAGGCAATGCATGATTGTCAGGTTAGAAGAAAGATACCCAAGTGGAGCATTTTCGGGACAGCATGGAATGGTTCAATTCTCTTCCAAATCTTTGTTTCTAGAGGAATGCGACCAACTAGCGGAATTTTTCTCTCTTTCAAATATCATCAACGGCTACATGAAATCTTTAGGCTTCCATATAGACTCAGTAAGAGAGTTTGACAACACACACATATATAAGAAAAAGAGATAATTTTAAAAGTAAATAAGAAAGTACTACTTATGTTACGAACAACGAAAAAGACATATAGCTAAGGCTAATGTAGGCTACTATACATATATATGCATAGCGAATATGTGGAAACTCTAATCTACCAAGCTTAAGCAACCCAACAAATTTTCAGCGAAGCTCCCCAATTTGGAATATATATATATATATATATTGAATTGTTAGGCAAGCCCTAATTTAGACAACAAGTGGAAGTTAATGACAATAATGTTAATTACAAACCTAGAAAACATGAAAACCTAGTGAACTTGTAGCATGGAGGTTTATTTTTATATATTGTGCCATTCACTTCCATCTTAATAAAAGATAAATCTTAGAACGAGGAGTGGCTGAAACCTTTTATGTTATAATATTTAAGCAATGTAGGATTTTACCTTTAATCATTGTTTGATTTTAATTCTTTGAGAATCATTTCTATTCCACATTCATTTTCAATCACATATTCTTAAAAAAAAAATGGCTTATAACATTTTTCGATTCATAACTTTTCCATATTTTCTAACCATACGATCACATAAAGAGTACTTTTCAAACAATCACTTCTTAAAGAATTAAAAATCAAACAAACACATAACATGCTGCAGGATAGTGCCTGAATTGAGAATACTAATTTTCAAAACACCGATTTACTAATTAAATGGCATGTCATGTCATCGGTACTTAACATAAGTTAAGCACCGGTATTTCGGAGATCATTCCTGTATATATATATATATATATATATATAGAACGGTATGGAATTTCGCCCTTAATACTTATATCCTATATCTTTCTTTTTTTGCACCGATTTT